AAAAAGCCATTGCTGCAGAGGTAAAGCAGGGACCCTGGTGTGACAGAGATAAGCTGGCCACTTGGGGTTCTGGGCAGGCAGCCAGCTGCCCAGCCCAGTGCTCCACCTCCAGCATCACCTGGTCACCTCCTGCAGGGCTGCTGTCCATTCACAAGGACTCTGGCTGGGCAGGGCAGGGCAGGGCAGGGCAGGGGACCCAGGACCACGCACAGCACCCCCGCCCCACCTTCATGCTTCCACCTCCATGGTTCTCTGAACTCTTTCTTATTGTCCGCGGGGTCTGAGGGGTGTGCAGGGCAGGGGTTGTGAGCCCATTTTAGAGACAAGAAGCCTGAGGTGGTGGAATAGGGACCAGCACCCCAGCCTCTCTCTCCTCTGCCACGTCTGCCCTGGGTAAGTTGCTGTTCCCGTGGGCCTCGGTTTCCTCATCTGGGGAGCAGTGAGAATCCTCTCACTGGCAGGTATGGGGAAGGGGGCGGGCAGGGCACTTGTGTCAGGGGAACAGCCTGTGCAAAGCCCAGAGGTGGGAGGTTCGGATGCACCTGAGGAACAGCAGCAGCTCCACGTGACGGGGCCTGGGTGGTGGTGGGGGGGAGACCACAGAGCAGAGCGGGAGAAGCAGGAGCCCCACAAAGCCCTGAGGCTATAAGCCAGGCTGCGCTGTCGGAGGCTTGCCCTGTCACTTCCACCAGGGTCATCATTCTCTCCATCCCCCTTCCCCAGGACCCTCCTGCCTGGACTAACGCAGCCATGTCCCAGTGAGCCTAGCAGCCTCCAGGCTCCGCCGGGGAGCTCCTGACTCTCGCGAGGCCAGACCCCTGGCCATGCCCTGGCCTGTCCCTGGCAGGAGTGAACCAGGGACACCGCCCCGAATAGTCATGCTTGTGTCCACAGCTGAGCCCTCTCCAAAGCTGTTCCCTCACCTCGGGGTGCCCTCCCTAGTTAACTCTGCAAACCGAGCCCTAATCAGCTCCATGGGTCACCTCTTATGCAATACCTTTCCTGACTCCTTCGGATTATACTAACCACTCTTTCTTTCAGGATCCCCACTAAGCCACCCACCGTGAGCCAATACACTGCATGGTGGCCCTGGAAGACCACACGCCATTGAACACACAACGGGTGTAATCCAAGAGGTCTCGAAAGCAGGAGTTGTGTCTTTATGGCCCACATAGCACAAGGCCTGACACCAAGCAGGACCTCAGGAAATGAGGGATCAGGTGCATGGGTGGGTGG